ATCTGGGTTTCATATTCCAAATTCAGTCTGTTTTTCTCTACCTCCAAATGATGCTTACTCACAGACCTGTATAGCCCTAGCTACACGCATGATGAGATTGATTACAAGTGAGTGTATCTTGGACCCAACTAGATCATAACAATGCCAGCTAACATCTCCATGGTGCTCTAAGACTTGCAAAGTGCTGGGTTTTTGTTTTTTTTTTTAACCTTCCTTAGTTCCCGTGAGCTTTTGGACCCCTAAGAAACAGGTCCCAACACCTTTATACCTCCTGTGGCTTAGTGGCGGGAGGGCGGCTGGGCTGGAGTCAGGAATCCTACCTGCGATGCTTCCTACCTGGGTGACTCCAGTGGCCAGGCACTCATTGACCGCTTCATCCTTGGCCTACTCGACTGTAAAATGGGAACAACGCATACCTGTGGCACCCACCTCGGCGCTTTTCCCGCAGCCTAAAGTGAGGTGGGGTGTATAGGTACCTCGCTTTGCTTTAAACCCTATAAAGCACAGCAGAAACGTCAGTGCCCGGCGCTGTTTCAACAGTGACCTAACTGTATGTCGTGGAGACAGATGAGACGCTGAACCCAACAAGGCGCGGACCATTCCTCGAGGCCTTCGATCTCGCTCCTCCTGCTACTCGGTTGGTTGGAATCGCTTTGGCCTGGATGTTTTGCTCTGTTCCTCGTGGTCAGTGAAGGTACCGGTGTTTGGGTTGACTCAGCCTACAGCCGGGCCTGGGGGCAAGGCTTGGACCAGTAAAAACCGTTGGGCCTCAGTGGGAAAGGGGACGAGGCCCATTCTTTTCCCTCCTTCTAAACCCCTCCCGGGACACGCCTCTTGAGAGCCTGCGGGAGGCCGGGAGTGGAGATGGGGCATGGAGCAGGCCAGGTGGGGAATCTGCTCTGCATCAGCGTCTCCCCCTCCTCCAGCCGTTTCTGCCTGTCTGGGACGGGCTGGGCTTTCTGGCTCCGACCTCTCTGTTCCAACACATTTATAACGAAAGGTCCGAATTAGGGCTGTGTGCCAGTCCTCATCACGGCCAAGCACCACTTGCCAGACACCTGACAACCCCCGCAAACAACACACACAACACAGAGATGTACATACAAACGCAACACACACCCAGGAGGAAGGGAAGGGAGGCTGCTGCTTCAGCAGAAAAATCATTAGGCTCCAGGCGATCTGCCCAGGAGGTTTTTGTTTTATTTTTCTTCTGAATTAACAACAAAAACAACCTGTATCAGAACAAGGGCGTTAGGAGATGGGGCGGGGGGGAGAAGAGAGGAGAGAAAGAAAGGAAAACAATGAAAGGAAGGAAAAGGAGAGTAAAAATTCATAGAAAGAGATAGGAAAGAGAAAAAACGAAAAAGTTAGAGAAAGAGGAGAAAAAGTTAGAGAAAGGAAAGAAAAGAGAAGAGAGAAATAGAGGTAAAAGGCGGGGGAGGGGAGGAAGAGAGAGAGTTTGGACTAGGGGAGCCAGGCGGCTCCACATGTGTGCCTCACTCACTCCAGCAGCAGGCTTCTCGAAAGGAGCCCAAGCCCGCGGGCAGGCAGAACTGTTACCTCGTGAACCCTCCCGGGCGAGATAGTGCTAGGGCGGTGACGTCAGGCTAAGGGGTTAAAGGAGAGAGGGAAGGGGGGTCGAGGGGCCGGGCTCTGTACTGAGACTGACAGATGGGCCGCGACCCCCGCCTCCAGCTGCCCCCGTCGAAGGAGGAGACACCCAGGAAAGGTGGTTTCGGAGGCTGATTTTTGTGTAATTGTTGGTGTTGTTTAACTAAAAGCAACAACAATTGTTCCGCAGCCAAAATGAAAAACCGAAAGGAGAATGCCAACAGGGCACCAGCCCTACTCCTTGCGCCCTCGCTCCGCCTGGCCCCACTTTGGGACCTGAGGAAGCTTGGAGCTCTGGGTTTAGGGAGCCTGGGCAGAATGGGCCACGGGGAAGATGGAGACTGGTTTCAGACCCTAGTCTCAGCCTACCTCTCCCTCCTCCCTCCACCCCAGAAAACACCCCCAGGAAAAAAAACCCAAAATACTCACCCCCCAGCAACGACTCCCTCCCCTGGCCTGCACTCGCAGGTCTTGAGAAGCTCAGGGATCGAACTCCCCACGGACAAGAGCCACGGCTTCGCGGTGGGGGGACGCCTGGGCAGGACTGGATTGGAGAACAAGAAAGGGCCCCAGGGCCCCCACTCAGATGGAGGGAGAGGGGAGAAAAAAGGAAGGGGAAGGGAAGAAGGAAGGAAAGAAAAAGAAAGGAAGGAAGGAGGGAAGAAGAGGAGAAAGAGAAAGAAGTGTATGTTGAAAGGAAGGGGAAAAGGAGAAGACGAGAGGAAGAAACGTCTGTTGAATTAAAATAAGGAAAGAAAGAAAGAAAAGGGAAAGGACAGAGGAAGCGATGCTTGTTGAAGAAAGGAAGGAAGAAAAGAAAAAGGAAGAGACAGGAGAGGACGAAATGTTTGTTGAAAGAAGGAAAAAAGAAAAGGGAAGAAGGGAAGAAAGTAGGAGGCAAGGAATGAACGGAGGAAGGAAGGAAGGAAAAAGAGAGCTCTAGGAAGGAAAGGACCAAGTTGGCCACCTTCCCCAGGCAGCGCTCCGAGGCCCGCCTGCATCCTCCTCCCTCGCCCCCCCACCCCCGTCCGTGACCCCTAGCCGCAGTGCCCTAGGCAAGCCGCCTTGGAGCTCAGCTCTCAGCGATTTCAGGCCCTCTGGATACCCACGGGTTATTAACTAAAGTACAGACTTGGAGCCGAGGAGATAGAGACCGGCCGCGGCAATTAGGCGCAATTCACACGCTCCCTCACACACGGAAACTGCTTGTCATGATATTTTAAACACTCCTCCTGGTCTCATTTCTTTTTCTTTTTTTGCCCCTTCGTCTTCGCGCCCCCTTCCCAGGTCTCCGATCTCCCTCTCCCCATTCCCCCCTCCCTTTCCTTTCCCTCCCTCCCACTCCTCCCCTTCCCCCGCCCCGACTCTTAAGAACACAGGGAGCCTTTTAGAGTTTATAGAGTCCTTCGGCCAGACCCAGGCGAACGCAAGCCTCCCCGGGCGCTTATTCGGGGGCGCGGGGGAGGGGGGGACCAAGGGGGCGGCCAATCAGAGGCCCGCCTGCCTCCCCTGGCCAATAGCAAGCGCCACATTGTTGTCAAATTCTGTCTAATGGAAACGTAACGAGCAACAATAGAGCCGGCCAGCGACTCATTGAGACTCCGTCGGGCAGCGCCTGGCAACTCGGCCCGGGGCCGGCGGCCGCTGCTGCTGCTGCTGCTGCTGCTGCTGCTGCGGCACCCCTTGGCTCCGGCTCCAGCTCCGGCTCCCGCTCCCGGCTCCGACTCGGGCACCGGCTCCCACTCCAGAGGGAGCCTCCCACCGGGCCGCAGAACTCCGAGGCTCCAGGCGGTCTCCGGTCGCTATTCCTACCCTCCCCCGGTCCCCGAGGCCGGCCCGGGACCCCTGAGCCGCACCCCCCCCCCAGTCCAGGCCCTCTGCTCCCCCCCCGTAGGGAGGGGTTTCTTCATTTCTGTTCTGGGGGGGGAAGGCCAAGAGAGGGGAGTCGGGAGCCGGCTGGGGAAGGAAGGGGTGGGCTTCAAGTTGGCGCTGGTGGCCCCAGGGAGCGGAGATGGGCAGATAAGGGAGTTGCCTACGTAAGTGCCTCCTCCCAGGCCCGGGCCTGAGCCTAGACAGTCCAGCGAGCCAAGAGGGAAGTCTACTCTGCCTCCCGGTGTGCGGCGGCCGACGGAGAAGGAGGAGGAGTCGAGGGGTCCGGGTCAGGTGGGTGCGCGCGGCAGTCCGGGGCGGGGTGGGGGGCCAGGCCGGAAGGGGTAGCGAAGGTTAGCCGGGCACCCCCCACCCCAGCCTTATGTGGTGGGACTGGGCCGCTGAAAGAAGGGGGCGCGAGTAGATGCGAGGGGGTGGGGGTAGGAAAGAAGCGGAGACCCCAAGTAGCTGGAGGCGGGGGCGGAGGGCTGCTTGCTGGTCGCAGGTTGATCTGGAGGGAGGAGAAGGGCGGGGAGCCCTTCTCTCCCTCCCAGAAGTGACTGGGAACCAAACCTGGTACACCTCCCCTCCCCCACACCCCCCCCCCCCGCTCCAGCAGCCGATTAAGGAGCGAAGGGGTGGGGGTGGGGTGACGAGAGGAAGAAAACCTTAATGCAGAGGGTTACTTTCCACCCTCCTTTAGGGGAAAGGAGATACTTAGGGGCCTGGGGCGCAAAGAGAGATACTTTCCCAGAGGCTTCCACGCTAGAGAGGCATGTGCAAAAAATATCAGAGCTGGCAAGGGCCTTAGAACTCCATCTTGTAACCCCTCCCATTGTACAGATAGGGAAACTGAGGCCCAGAGACACCTCCCCCCCAGCGTAACTTGATTTATAGGCAGGCCACCCCCTCCATTCCCTTAAAGGCCTGGGAGGGGGGATGCCAACCATGGGCGGCAGCGGGGGTGGGGGAGGTGTTAGGTAGGCAGGGAAATCACGAAAGAACATACATGAGGAAAACTGAAACTCAGGATATCGGAGCTCAGGGGCCTGTGGTACATAGAAGGCATACTTTAAAAGCTGAAAGAAATCTTAGAGGACCCCAAACCTGGAAAGCTCCGACTGAAGGCACTTGGAACGACATATTCTAAAGAATATGTTAAGGCAGAGTACATTCGAACCAGGTACTCGGAATCTTCCAGCTAGGGGTGGAGAGATCCAAACGCTCGCAGTTGGAGGGGCTTAACTTAGCAGAGCGCCGACTGCCCGCGGCAGAAAGGGCTCAGGTCTGCGGGTCCCACCTCCTTATTTTACAGTCGAGCAAGCAGGTCCAACGAGGCGAAAGGCCTTGCGCATGGTCACCCCGTGGCTATCCAGCCCGGTCTCCTGCCCCTCCGCCCCAGGGTCCTTCTCCACCTCCCCCCCCCCCCCCCCCCCCCCCCAGGCCTCTGAGTCAAGTCAACCGGGCGGGGGTTTGTTTTCTCTCGTCCCGTTGCAGACAGGAGTGGAAGGCTGGCCTCGATGGAGCTGCGCTCGGAGCTGCCCAGCGTGCCCTCGGCTGCCGGGCCCCCGGTGGCGCCGGGCTCCGTGGCGTCCGTGGCGTCCGTGGCGGCGGCCGCTGCAGCGGCAGCGTCGCTGCCGGTGAGCGTGGCAGGCGGCCTGCTGCGGGCGCCACCCCTGCTGCTGCGGGCGGCCGAGAAGTACCCGCGCACGCCCAAGTGCGCGCGGTGCCGCAACCACGGTGTGGTGTCGGCGCTCAAGGGTCACAAGCGCTACTGCCGCTGGAAAGACTGCCTGTGCGCCAAGTGCACCCTCATCGCCGAGCGCCAGCGGGTCATGGCCGCGCAGGTGGCTCTGCGCCGGCAGCAGGCGCAGGAGGAGAACGAGGCCCGAGAGCTGCAGCTGCTCTACGGCACGGCCGAGGGCCTCGCCTTGGCCGCGGCCAACGGCATCATCCCGCCGCGGCCCGCCTACGAGGTCTTCGGCACCGTGTGCCCCGACGGCGCGAGCGGGGCCGGCCAGGGGCCGGGGCCGGGCTCGGGCTCGGGGGGCGCTGGAGCGGGAGCCGCAGCAGGAGGCACAGGTGAAGAGAACGGCAATGGGGGAGGGGGGCAGTGCTGGGGACCCCGGGCTGGGGCGGGCGTGGGAGGTGGGGAGGGCTTCTCCCTGCTCGGGATCAGCTCTTGCCTGTCCCCTGTTTACAAAACTTTCCCCTTCTCTTCGGCCTCTTCCTGCTGTTCGCTCGTTGTCTCTTGACTCCCTCGAGAGTTTGAACGCCCCTTTTCTCGGATCTCTCTCTCCTTCGCTCCCTTCCTCTCTCCCTCCTCCACTTTCTCTTTGCTCTTTCCCTTCTTTCCTGCCTCTCCTCACTTGTTTATACTGGGGCTCTCTTTTTTGGCGTTTTCACGTCCCTTCTTGCGCTCCTGTCTCCGGGGCCCCTTTCCTGATTCGCCCGGTTCCCGCAGCCCCACCGAGCTACTTTTTCCTGTTCCTCCCTCCTTTCTCTAGTCTGTTTTCTTCTTCTCTTGCTCCGTCATCCCAAATCCGGTTCAGCTTTCCCTTCCTCTCCCTCTCTTCTTTATACCTTTACCTTTCGCCTCCAATGTTATTTCCCTTCCTCGTGCTCCTCCCTTTTCCTCTTTTTAAATACTTCTTTGTACTTAAAAGCTAGAAGAAGTCTTAGAGGACCCCAAACCTGGAAAACTCGGTCTGGAAATTCCAGCTTCTCCCTTCTAGTTCTCACGGCTTTGCTATTTTTTTCCTTTTCTTTTTCCTTTTTCCATTTATAGTTGGTCTCTCCTGGAGACTTTCCACTCTCTTCTCTCTCCTGCTCTCTCTGATTTCTCTGTCTTTTTTTTTTAAACCCACTTCTTCTTATTACGAGCTCCTCTTTTCCTTTTTGTCTCTCTGTTCTCTCCATTGCTTTTTTCTAATTCTCCTAATGTCTCACGTCCTCAGCGATGTCGTTTCTTTCCTCTCTTCATTCCCTCCCCGGGCTCTTTTTTTTTGCTTTATTCCCTTTTACACCCTTACTTCTCTTTCTCACCTTTCCCTCTCATTCGTCCCTCCTCTTCACTCCTCTTTCTCCCCCTTTCCTTCTCTCCCGGGATTCTCCCTTCCCCCCTTTTAATCTCTACTCTGACATTTTCTTCATCGTGGTTTCTTTTTCTTCCTCCCTTTTTAGGCCCCTGCCTCTTCTTTTTTCAGCGTTTCCTCTTTCCTTATTCGATTCTTTCGTCTTCCTCTTAATTTTCTTCTCTTTCTAGTTTCTTTTGTTTCTCCTTTATCTTTCCCCTTTTATTTCTTTTTTTCCCTTTCCATACTCTCCCACCTGCCTTCTCACCCCTTCCTAGGAGCAGTGAACTGAGTTCGGGACGATGAATTCTAGCCCAGACCTGGCCATTTAACTGGCTCTGTGATATTGGGGTTTTCACTTCCAGGAAGTGCTACTTTGTTAAAATTAGATATTTGGACTAGATTTAATTTTTTTTTCTAAAATAACGTGCTTTACAGAAACATTCAGACTTCTCTCACTTTCTTCTCCCCTCTTCCTGAACTTTCACATTTTTCTGTCTCTTTCCCAGATTTTGGGTAATTTCTCAACCTCCGCTTCCCACCTTTGCTCTCCTGTAGCTCAGGAAAGGAGAAAACCCGGTGGCTCAAATAGAGATCTAATTTGGTGGAGAGATCGGAAAGGAAGGGGGGAGGGGGCCTTTCATTCATCTCAGGGTCAGAGCCGCTCTGGTTGTCCTGTCGGCCTCTGGACCCGGTCTGGGAGGTTTTATTTCTTTTTTCCTTTTGACGTTGGTTTGGGGCGGGAGTTGGTGGGGGGGACACACAGGGGAGAAGCTTTTCAAAATCCTCGATCGATCTGGCTGCCTAGCCGAACCCCTTGACACCGAGAGGAACTGCAGCCCAGGTTTCTCCTATGCCACCCTTCCCCCTCATCTCACCCATCCTGGGGGTGGGCCACGGGAGAGTGCAGGTCAGAGATTTAGAGTATCCTAGGATTTCAAGTTGGAGGGGACATTAGAGAGATTTAATTCCCCTTCCTGGTTTCTCCGATGAAAAACTCTGAGGCTCCAGAAAGGAAGTTACTCGCCCAAGGTCATACGTACGTGTCCTATGAAAATGGCAGAAGCTAGAGTAGGGCAGACACAGCCAGGGCCCCCAGATCCTAGGGGGCAGGCACAGAAGGGAAGAGATGTGGAGAGGGCCAGGAGGAGTGGCAGTGAACCGGGTTGTCCACTCGATGGTGCAGAGGTGTAGGCAAGACGCCTGCTTAGTGTAGGGCAAGTGGGCCCCCTGGCAAAGGCCCTGACCTGCCCTCTCCGCCCCCACTTTTCTCTTCCCTCCCCAGAGGCCAAGCTACAGAAGTTTGACCTGTTTCCCAAAGGCCTGCTGCAGCCGGGAGGGGCGGGTTCCCCTCAGCCTCCTGGGGGAAAGCCGGTGTCCCCGGACGGGGCAGATTCGGCGCCCGGCACGTCATCTCCGGAGGCCCGGCCTGGCTCAGGTTCGGAGAACGGCGACGGTGACTCGTTCCTGGGCTCGCCGCAGTCCAAGACGCTGAAGGAAGGGGGTAGCGGAGGCGGCAGCGGCAGCGGCAGCGGCCCCGGCGGCCCCGGCGAGGACGACAGTCCTGGCTCCATCAGCCCTCTGGGCTCTGACTCGGGCTCCGAGGTTGACAAGGACGAGGCCACGGCATCTCCGCCGCCATCGGGCTCGGGCCCCGGGCCCCGGCAGCGGACGCCGCTGGACATCCTGACCCGGGTCTTTCCCAGCCACAAGCGCAGCGTGCTCGAGCTGGTGCTGCAGGGCTGCGGCGGGGACGTGGTGCAGGCCATCGAGCAGATCCTGAACCACCACCGCGGCGCCGCCGTGGCCGGGGGAGCAGCCGTGGCGGCCGGCGGCCCGGACAAGGGCCCAGACGAGGGCTGGACGGGGCGCGCCGACGGCGGCGCGGGCGCCCTGGGCGCCGCGCTGCAGCCCGGCCCGGCCGCCGCCCACCACCCGCACCACAGACCCTTGCTGGCCGGGGCCATGACCCCAGCCATTGGGACCCTGGGCAGCCGTTCGGCCTTCTCGCCGCTACAGCCCAACGCCAGCCACTTCGGCGCGGAGGCAGGCGCCTATCCTCTGGGCACGCCCTTGGGCCTGAGCCCGCTGCGCCTGGCTTACTCAGCGGCGGCGCACAGCCGCGGGCTGGCCTTCATGGCGCCCTACTCCACAGCCGGCCTCGTGCCCACGCTGGGCTTCCGGCCGCCCATGGACTACGCCTTCAGCGACCTCATGCGGGACCGCTCGGCCTCTGTGCACAAGGAACCCGTCTACAGCAACGGGGGCGGCCTCTACGGGCCCCTGGTTAACAACAACCCGGACAAGCAGTAGAGAGGGGCGCGGACCGAGGGGAGGTGCCTGGGGCACGGAGTGGGAGAGGAAGCCACGGCCTCCCCCCTCCCCCCCCGGCTTCGTGGCCCATTTCGGGCTGTGCGCCCTTGCAGCTGGTCCACCTTGGCTGGGAGGGAGGAAAGCTGGCGCTGCTCTGGAGGCGGGCTGGGGAGGTGTGGAGACTAAGGCGGGCTCGGTTCGGGGACGCGGCTGCCCTTGCTTGCCCGGACCCCTTCCCGAGGCAATCGACCCGAAGGTCTGCCAAAGGTCTGGGAGTGGGGGACGTGGGTATGGGACACAGCCCTTACATCGGGCCCGAGGCAGCGGGTTCGGGAGCCGCATCTCTGGCCTGATTAGAGGGCACTCTGGCTTCAGGAATGCTGGGCGCTCCGCGCTCTGGCTCTGAATGCCTGCACTCCCCGCCCAGACGGATCGCAGGTTGTCAGTCGGTCTCTCCCTACTCCCCTCTCTCTTCGCTTTTCGTTCGCTCTAACAAATATAAATCTAGGCTGAACAAACCTACTCCTAGCGCCGGGTTTAGTCCTTGGGAGAGGAGGTGTCAGGGCAGACCTCGCTCCGTCTGGTTCTCTGCTTCTGTCTCTGTCTCGGGTCTCTGTCTCTCCCGGTAGATCGGAGGACTACAGAACACCCGGCAGTGGGCTCCGAGCTGGCGCTTTCGTTGTTTCGGTTTTTGTCCCGACCCTCCCTCGTCGCTTACGGTCCCGAGCATGGCTATTTCATCTCTGGTGCATTGTGAGGTTTTACACGTGTATAAATATATCGGTACCTGATCTATACATATTCATATACATATATATATATATATACGAGCGAGTGTACGATGTTATAAATGGATTCTAAGTTATTAATTGTAATCTGTAGGTGAACTTGGTATTAACGTTTAAGAAAAAAAATAATTCCAGAAAGGAAAACAACCAAGACGATAAAATACAAAACAACGACAACCAAAGTTAGACAGGTCTCCTTGTACTTTTGAGGGCTAGAGATGCAGTCACTCCTTCCGTGTACCACGGAACCTCCCCCTCGACTCCTTCTCTTTCCCCTCCGGGGTAACCGGGAGCCACCTGGACCCTCAGCTCTTCTGCTGGGCTGCAAACGGATTCGTTGGCGGAAGCCCTGCCTCCCTTCCCCGGGCTAGGGTGGAAGAGGGGACCCAGGTTCCCTGTCTAGTCCAGAGCTAAGAACGTTGTGTCTTCTACGCACAGACATGTTAGAAATAAATGTTATTTTCCTCTTAAGACCTCCAAGGTCTGTCCTCCTCAGATCAAGAGAAAAAATGATTCCCCCAATCTACCTCCAAACTCCCGCTCCTTCTGGATGAGGAGGACTTTTTTTTTTAATAGACTGTTAAGGTCTTGATTGGGTCCTCCACCCCCTACCCCATGTAAATTAATAAAAAAGAGGAGGCCACCCCAGGGAGGCATTGCCCCCCAGCCTGGACTGAGAGCCCCCTTCCTCCCAGGCCCCTGTCTCTCTGTGCTCACCCCCAAAGAAGAATAAAGGAGCCCAAAAGTGTGGTTCTCCCCATCCCGAATGACTTTCTCCTCAATCCCCCAAGTTCCCTCCCCCAGCTATGGGTATTGGAGGTGGCCCCCGAGACTTCTCAGGGCTCGCGTCTTAACATTTGCGTCCAAGCTCCCCAGTAATTCTCTCTAGGTCTGGCTGGGGCTGGGGGGAGGGCTGGGGCGTGTTCAAACGCCCATACCGCAAAGAGGGCTGTAAGATGTCGGTCCCTTACACCTTAAATCTCAGGCTCAGCCTGTCCGGAATGGAGGTGACGGGAAAATCCTCGTGAGATCCTCCCCTGTCCCTTAAGAATTCTTATCAGAGTGCAGGCCAACCTGGGACAGGCTGGGAGAGAGCGGGCGGAAAGCCATAGCCACCAAGCGTACTCTGCGTCCAAACTCTCCCGAAATTAGCATCTCCCGAAAACCCGGGTCAGACCCACTTCCGCCACCTAAATCCTCATCTCAAGAAAAGGGAAATTGCCCGCGGTGTTAGAAAGATAACTCCCATAAAACTAGCATCGAACCTGATTCCACCCCACCGGGTCACTTGGGGATCAAGTCAGAGGTTGGAGGGTTTGAGCGCTCTCTGCACAATGCGGAGTGAGGAGGGGAGGACGCCTTCTGAGGCCGTGGGTGAGCATTAGGACTCTTCGCCTCCCTACCCTCTGCACCGGCATACTTACTAGCTCTCTCCTCTGTCTCTGTCAAATAATAGTTCTGTATTTCTCTGTGTCTCTGTGTCTCTTCTTGTCTATCTTTTCTTTCTCCCCGACTATCTCTGTTTCTGTCTCTATCTGTGTCTGTCTCTGTCTCTCTGTCTCTATCTCTGATTCTCTATGTCTGTCTCTGTCTCCCTTATCTCCGTCGGTGTGTCTCTGTCTCTGTCTCCCTCTGTCTCTCTCTCTGTCCCCCTGTCTCTCTCTCTGCCTCTGTCTGTCTCTGTCTCTCTATCTCTGTGTCTCTCTGTCTCTGTCTGTGTCTCTCTGTCTCTGTCTCTCTCTGTCTCTGTCTCTCTTTCTCTCTCTCTCCCTCCCTCTTTCTCCTTCTCTCTCCCTCTCATTGAGCAAGTCCCGACAGGAAGGCGGTGAAGAAGCTCTCCAGATCCTGCTCTGCCTATTCACCCCCGAGGGGAATAAGATCTTTTCCCTAACACAGGGAACCCGAGCCCAGGGATGAAACGCTCTGGCAGGGCCCAGGCCACTGGGCTCAGGGAAGGGGAACCTGAAGGGCCCAGAACGCTGGGCCCATGAAGCGGGGGTGGAGGGGCCAGGCAGCCGTCTGCAGCTCCCAGCCGAGAGCCGTGGAGCAGGATGCAGCGAGGCAGCCGAGGAGGCACGAACTCTAGGCCCTGGGCCCGGGAGGGAATGGGGCGTCTCTTGTGACCCCACTTGAGTGCGCAGGTGAAAGGAATGAAGACGATCGAAAACCCGAAGCAGCAGCAAGGAGCCGGCACCCTGCTCTCAGCCAAAGTTGGTTGTCATGGAAACCTAATTCCCCGCCCCCCCCCCCCTTACCCCGGCCCTTCCCGGCTGGGCCCAGGCCGGGCCCCAGCCCGCTTCTCCGAGCTTGGCAGAAAGGGCCCTGTTTACCTCCTCACTACCCCGATCCCTGGCTAAACATTTGCTCAGATTCTCTGCGCCCCGGAATCGAGCCCAGACCGGGTGAGAGGAAGCCACGGGCTTCCTCCTTGAGCCTGTGCATGGACCCGGCTTCGCAGAAGACGAATTCCCCTTCCACTTATGCAAAAGAAACAAACAAAAAAACAAACAAACAAGCAAACAACAAAAAGACCCAGCCCAAACGGGACCACCTTTCATTTCCCCTGCACTTTCTGCCCATTCCAGAGAACCCAAGCAGAGAGCTGTCTGTGAGAAAACCTGAGGGCTCGTCTGGTCCAAAGCCGCCTTTGCTAAGCACTCAGCGAAGGTGGAGAGAGAAAGGGCCTTGTTAAGATCCCACAGTCGATTAGAGGCAGGATTAGAACCCTTGGGTTCCTGACTCCCAGGCCAATGCTCTTAGAACTGGTTCAGCCCTTGTCATCCTTCCCTCCTTCCCCACTCCCCCCTCCAAAAACAGAGCAGCTTCCCCCACCCCAACCCACCAAAGGTCACCACAGACCAAGTCAACATGCTAAGGTAAACTTTTTGGGGCGGCTCAGGTTCCAGGGCGGAGGGTGTAACTTAATAGCACTACAGTAAAACGGTTTAATAAAGGAGGGCTTTAATGGGGAGCTAATTTGATTGAGCTGCCTAATTCCACTTTAATTGGAAAGGGGGTTTGTCTGTTTGGTTATAAAGTGCCAGGGTGACGGCAGAATGGAGAGGAAAGGAGAGGGAAATGGCAGAGAGGGAGGGAGGGAAGCCGAGAGACAGATACTGGGAGGAAGCAGAGGAGAGAGAAGGGCCTCATGCCTGGCAGAGGGAGAAAGGGAAGGGGGAGAGAGAGTCAGGGAGATGAAGAGACAAATACTGGGAGAGAAAGACAAGGGGGAGAATGGACAGAGAGGGAGAGAGGGCAGCAAATCAGGAAGACAGGTAGAAAGAGGAGGGAACCAAAGAAAGGGGGGCCAGACAGAAAAGGCCAGAGAAGACAAGACAGAAGGCCAGGCGAAGATGTCAGAGACAGGGAGGAAGGAGGTGGAAAGAAGAGACTTGAGTGGAACAAACTTTGCCTTCCCTCCTCCCCACTTTCTCCACCCTGGCTCCTGAGTGCTTCAGCGCCTGAGGCTCCTTCACCTAAGGAGTTTCCTGCCTGCCCCCAATCTCCGCATCTGGAAAAGAGACCAAAAAAAAAAAAACCAAACCAGTGCCCGCTCTTCTAAGCCTTGCTGCCCACTGGGAAGGAGGAAGCTTCTGGCACTGGGGTCTAGCCGGGCTGCTGGAGCCAGAGGAGGTCTGTGCTGCTCAACTGTGTACGTAGACCTCAGCCTAGCCCTGGCCTGCATTCCCTGGAGGCCTTCCCCCCCCCCCCTCCTTGTCCCTATCCAGCAGCTGCTGTTTCCTTTGAGCTTTACAGGCTCTGAAAGACCCAAGGAGAAAGTTGCTCACTCCTTGGGCAGAGTAGGGGGACCAGAGGATTGAGCCACAGAAGGTCTGAGTTCAAATCCTACTGACTCATCAGTGTAATTTTATTTAAGTCAACACAACTTCTCTGGTCTGTTTCCTCTTTCCTAAAATAGGGACAATAACAAATTTCCTGGGTGTCTTACCTGGCAACAAAGGGTTATATTTAGTACACTTAAAGCTACCTAGAACCTGGGGCTCTCCAGCTGGTATCCAACTTCAGGGGGCCCCTACCTCACACATGTCCTTGGAATCATTAGGGTTTGGAATGCCATTGACACCTGAAAAATCACTTCCCTTTCATGAAGTTATAGATGGTAAGAAATGGAGAGGACTTGACTTTCCAGATGATCTAGGAAACAAGGTCTTAGGTGCAGAGCTGATAACTCCCCACCCTTTTATGGGGGTC